TACATGTTTTACCCTCTACATTTTAAAGGTCTACATGTTTTACCCTCCATATTTTAAAGTTAAAGACACTCTCCGTATGAACCAAAGAAGAGAAGGACTCACTGTGGTCGCAGCGCTGTCCTGCCGTCACAGATGATGGCAGCCTTCTGGCCACAGTTGGAGTGAAAAAGCAGGCGGTCGGGCCCCTCCGAGTCAGGAGTGAGGGTAAGGGACGGCCGGGGTCGACCTACGTCAGGCGAAAGAGCCCTCATGATGGCGTTGTTGCGCCTGAGGCGGTCACTGTGGTTGTGGTTGTGGACTATGGTGACTTTAACAGCCATACCATAGAGGTCCACCACACCATAGACCACACTGGGGGTCTGGGCTGCTGCAACACCTGGGGGAAAAAGACAAAGAGATTAAAAGATAAAGTTAGGGTCTTGTACTTAAATCACAACGTATCCTTTTGGTGCTGGTTGTTCTCATCAGCAGCCATCAGGGATGCGCTTACAGCTCAGCATCATTGCGTACGTTTCAGTGCCTCACCTTGATCAATTCCGTTAATGTAGAAATGGAGCGCACCACTGGCTTTGTGCATCAACCCTATGTGATCACCCTCCTTCATACAGGTGGAAAAAAAGAGTGACTGCATAATTAAAAACAGCAAAACAACAATAAAATGCTTCTTTTTCGCTGTCGTCACAAACCTGTAGCTCATCGAGGCTGAATTCACAGTATTCCCTGCGGGTTCCTTTCCCATTGGTTAATATCCCACAGCCACTCATCATGATTGTACCTGATGAAGTGGAAAGAAAAGATGCAATTTTAAACACAGGTTGGAGTTCCTTGAAGGAGTGCATATCACCCGCCTCTTCATCCCAGAGTTTAAAACTAACATCACCTTGTGCTGAGAAATGTAGAAGCCATAGGTCAAATCTTAAAAATTACAGTAAGCAAGATGTCCCGTAAGATCATAACCCTAACTCTAACCCTATCTTGAACGAGGTATTTTTGTGCTTCCTAACATCAGTAGACTGCGGCGGCCATGCTGAATAGGGCCCAGTCCAAAACATTTGAACATCTTTTGTTTATTAGAGATTTTCAGCAGGTTTTCTGTCACCTGAGCGCAGATTGGTCATAGTTGCAGGATAGTCCAGGTTGTTTGGGTTGTGCGTGGTTACACCGATCTCAATCGAGCCAGACCACTTGTCCACCAGCTTATCAATGCGGATCTGAAAACAAAAACACAAACTTCTTGTTTTTAGGTAAAGGGGCTCATGTTTGGTGAGTTTAGTCAACTTCCAATAATGGCATTAGTGTCATGAATTAGATCAGCGTATGAACACTGATGGCAGCGGCGAGCTGAGCGCACGCACCTCAAACATCTCGTTGTGGCGGAGAGGCCGGTTGGTCATCACCACGCCGTTGTTGAACTCGTCCAGCGGTCTCCTCCGCTCCGCCGTCTTGTTGTTGTTGCTCAGCTTGATCAGCGTGCCGCACTTCTCGTGGAACAGCAGCGCGTCGTTCGTGGTCATCCCGCCCGTCACCGCTCCCGACCCCACCCCTCCTCCTCCGTTGCCAGCCGGGCTGTTATCGGCGTTCCCACCACCTCCCTCTCCCGCTGTTGTTCCACCGTCACTGACCGCCGTGCCTCCTCCACCTCTGCTTCCCCGCTCGTTTCTTGAGGAAGAGTCGGATCCGGCGTTTCCTCCTCCTTCCCCACCTACCCCTCCTCCACCGTCTTCCCCTCCGCCCTCATCCTCAGAGCGGTAGAAGGACACTATTGCGTTGTTGAACACGTCAAAGAGCTGGTGCTCTGTCAGACCTGAAGGGAGACGGGAAGAGAGCGGTTATCATGGTGGTCACCTTCCAAATGTCTAATGTCTAATCGGGGGGGGGGGTCTTACCGGTGTCAGCCTCCAGGTTGTTGGGGAACTTGTCTGGTCTGCTATTACTGCAGCTGAGCTCAGGCACTGAATCAAGAGATAAAACTATTTAAATCAGATTTATAATCCCATAAAGACCCGATCAGATTTTTTTTGTTTGTTTCGATACGTTAAACCCTCGGACACACTTTCTGTTTTACCTTCATCTCCGTTCACCACTCCATTCATCGCTGCCACATTCATCAGCGCTGTGATCCCTCCATCCTCCCTTCCTCCATGCACTACCACCTCCTCCTCTTCCTCCTCCTCCTCTGCGTCCTCCGCGTCCTCCTGGTCCCGTTCTATCGTCTCTCTTTCCTTCTCTGCAGAGGGAGGCGGTGGTTCACAGCTCACCACAGTCACTTGAGTGCACTTTCCGTACAGGTCCACCACGGCCCAGAGTTTGGACGGCAAGCCGCTGGCGGCGGCCCCGCAGTCCTGTCCGTTCACCCAGAGGTGGAGCTCGCCCCGGGAGCTGCGCTGGATGCCTACCCGGTCGCCTTCGACCAGCTGGTCGAGGTCGCGGCCGTACTCCTCCAGGACAGAGCGTCCGTCGCGGAGGACCGAGCAGCCCGACACGATCCAGGAGCCGCCCTTGAGGCCCGTGGCGCTGCTGGGGAAGTCCAGCGCAGCGGGGTCCAGAGCCGTCACGCCGATTTCAATGGAGCCGCTCCACGAGTTCACCTGAGAGGAAAAGAGTTTTCACCTAATTATTGACAATTAGTCAAACAAGCCATTTAAAAACAATGTACAATTGTTATTAGCTTAAGAACAATAGGATTTGGTGTCAAGTTTTAACTAAAGCAGATCATGTAAAGTACACGTCTGATCCCAGTCGCTCAAACTGCGCTGAACGCTGATCCAGTTGTGATCTGACGAAGACCGGTTCTGCCGCTCCGACATATTTTCCTCTTTTCATTACGACCAACAGAGTTATCTCACTCCCATGTGGGACTTTATCAATCAACATTTGCTGAATGCCAAATTTTCATCCGAGTTCACTCACCGTGGCGACCCCTGCAGAAGGGACTGGGAGCAGTCAAAAATAAATCAATCAACCACCACCTACTAGAGCTGATTTCTAACCCAAACCTGGAGCCCGACCCGGATTCGGACTGGGCCGGTCCATAATAATTTTTTTTTTTAAAGTACATCTATAAAGTCAAAGCTTTTTTAAAAATGTCGGGTTCATACCTGTAATAACTGTTTTTTCCAGTAATTACTGTTAGTTCGTCAGATGGGGTGGGGTTTGGAAATGATGGATACGGGCTGGGGCCGGGTCGGGTTTTTTTGGACCCAAACGCAACTCTACCACCTACAGCTGCAGAATATATCAAAATGTTAAAAACCTAATACCACCACAGTCACATGGATTGAATAATACTGCAGATGCATATTTTCCTAAATCATGATCACGATAACAAATTTTGCTGAGCGATTAATTGCCTCAGAAATTATTGCAATAAACAATAATATTGTTTGAAATTTGTCAATAATTAGTAATTATTGTCAAATTTAAGAATGTTTGTTAATTTGTTTTATGTACAGTACTTTTTTCGACCACCGGATGGCACTATAAGACTGTTTGAACCTAAGGATGGATAGTGAGGGAGCGAGCAGCGTGTCTCTTCAAGAAAATTGGGAGGGAAGCCCCTTGACGTGTCGTGGACCGACTCTCTTCAATTCTCAAAATGGCGGACGCTTGGTGTGATTTGAGCTCTTTAGCGTAGCATTTTTCCACAAAGCTTTTAATAAAATAAAATAAAATATCAGTAAACAAGTTCTCACCTTTTTTTTGCAGAGAAAAACTTTACATAAAGGCACGGGTTTCAACTGTGAATTTTGGAGCTCAACAAGACGGAGGTTTTTCCCCCGAAGTTAGCCTGTTAGCTTAGCTTGTAGCTTAGCTTCTCAGCTTAGCTGCTTTTAATGATCCAAAAATGTGATTTTTTTACAGTTAAAATGGGTTTTAAAAAGGAAAAAATAGAAATGGAAGGGTCAGTGAAAGAGAGAAAGAAAGAGAAAGAGAGACATGAAGAAACGATAAAGCCGATACAAGAAAATGAGGTTGATAATTTTCATTTATCATGTGATTAATTGATTTATTGTTTATCGCGACAGCCCTAATCATGAAGCTCTAAATCACCAAGCTGGGTTTTCTTCCTGCCTTGCTTTTTGTTTTTTGCCCCGACCGTAAAATGTGGAAAAATAAATCAGTCAAGTTAGAAGTTTTGTCATGCATTTTTACCTAAACACTCAACTTAAAGCAACTTTTAGAACAAAATGCAAAACTATTCTAGCATCAATCACAGCAAACACACGACTCCAGGAGCAGAAAGTAGAAGAGTCGTCAGCAGAGGCTGTTCATGTTGTGGAACAAGAGAAGTTTTGAAGTTTGAAGAGTGGAGCTAAAAACTGCACACGGATCTAAACATAGTCTGTCAGGTTTTGTGATGTGGTCTATTTTTACTCATTCTGTCTTTTCAGGGTTATTTCTTTGAAAACTAACCAGAATACACAACAAAAATACTGAAAATATGGAAAAAAAATAGATCAAGTTCCCAAAATGGGATGTTAATGTTGAGGCATCACCGAGGGGCTCACACGTTTCTTATTTACCTAAAGTAAATCATCCACATGACATCAGGACTGATCAATTATTTAAATGATGCTGTGTCTGTAAAAAAAAAAAAGAACACATCAGTGATATAATCCTGAAGGAAAGTTTTCCAGTGGAATAAAAAGGTAAACTCTGACCCTAAACGCTTCGTCGGTGAACATTTCTGATGATGAAGGTGTTGGAATAAAAACGTTCAGTTGTTTAAAAGGTTTTGGACCTTTTCTTTTATTTTAATCTTTAAAGCCGCGTCACAAAATGTTCACAGCACTGACTGAACCAGAGCAAATAAGAAATGGATTATATAACAATATAAAAAAGGTTTGGACTGTTTGGATGCATGAAGCCTGATTATATTTGGAAAAATACCGTGACATAACTGTGATAAAAGTAATGCTGTAGGGATCAAATTTATATTTAAAAATAGACATTTTTGCATAGATTTTGTTCAGTTTGTCTAGTTTGCCTACTTTTAGCCACACTAAGGTCTATAAATTGATCATTTTAAACACATCTCAGTGTATTTGAGCCTTTACAGTAGTCCCTCGCTACTTCGCAGTTCAACTTTCGAGGACTCGTTCTTTTGTGGTTTTTCAAAGTAAAAGACATGACACACAACTGGCTGATTAATGTAGGAACCACACGAGCGGCATGGATTGTTTATTTTAAATATTTCCGCACTTTTCGCCGTATAAGTTGCACCTATTTGCATAAATATGCAAGTCCTGCCACTTATACACTGAAGCGACTAATGTACTTTTTTTCCCATATTAACCCAATTTTTGACTGAGATCGAACTATTTCATTCATTCTGACATGGAAAATATTGAACACTACCATTTTCAGCCACTAGATGGCCCTCGAGTTATATGGCAAGCCAAGTGTCTCATTAATAGGTAAAAGTGGCTATTAATGAGACACTTGGCTTGCCATACAGAATCACCTTCGTCTCGCTCCGGAACTCCTGGAGCAAACGTCAAATCAGCTGCATTTCGCTGATTTGACCGTCAAAGTGCATTTATTAAGGAAAAGGAAAACTGAGACACTTTATAATTTTGAGCAAACAAATAACATCTTGTTAAATTCTTGTTAAAGTCTTCCCATCCACGCTCCCGCGGTCGCCATTTGGCAGCCAATTGAATTTTGGCACAACACTAGCCCACGTTTCCGGGTGGTCAGCGGTGACGCACAAAAGATGCGACGTGTACGACGGCAAGTATGGTTTTTTTTATGATTTAGCACCTGTGTGCAGCCCACAGGAGCAGGGAGAAGCTCCCTCCGCTCTCTGCCACCAACACATTTGTCCTCCGGCTGAAGCAGCTTCGTGAAGTTAACCCTTCGCTGTCCAGCTGCACCGATCGACTTTTGTCTTCCAACTTAAAATTCAAAGTATGTCACATCGTAAAATCGTCATAATCACAAAATATAGAAGTGTTAAAAGTTATTTTAGAACTTTTATGTTAAGTTGTTACAATGCAAGTGATCAAGAAGTATATTTCTGCTGCGTGAAGGGTTAACCCTTTGCTGTCCTGATGCTCTTCTCTAATATTTTAAGTAAACAATCCATGCAGCATGGATTGTTTACTTAAACAATTTTAAATACTGTAATATTTTATTTACACAAAAGGAGAGAGAATGGGAGTGAAACTTGAACTTGGACTACTGCATCCCTACTTCACAGTTTTTCACTTATCACGGGGGCGTGGTCCCTGAAACCCGTGATAAACGAGGGACTGCTGTACATAACTGTTATATTTTAAAGGGTGACTTTTACAAAAGTAGTCATTGGAACACAAATCTTTAAAATTATTTTTATTTGACAAACCTCTGCCTTAAATGACTTTATTTCACTTAGAAGGATTAGATTTTAAAGATTTTGGTTCATGTAGTAACATTTTTATTTGCAGCCGGGGAGTGGCTTCCTTCCTCCAAAGAGGGGGCCGACAAAAAACCAGTTTGAGAACCAGTGTGTTAGGGGACAGCACGACTAAACAATAAAATAAATCCTCCGTTCAAAGAACCTCATCCCTACTGTGAAGGACGGAGGTGGAAGGGTCATGGTTGGGGGGTGCTTTGCAGAACTGGACCCTGCAACGTGACAATGACCCAACCAGAGCAGCAAATCCACCAACGATTCTGGTGTAACATCTGTACAGGGTGTCCCAACGTCTCCCTCAGGTGAAAGGTGCATTTTTCTAAACATAATCTGTTAAATTAATAAAGCGAGGCTGATTTTGATAATCGACCTGAAATTAAAACCACTTCCATTTCCAGAGAATAACAAAAACAAGATGAGTCATTTCTTACCAAACGACAGAATATTTCTTGGGGGTGTTCCATTTTTGTTTATACGACTGTAGAGACGTTTTGAACGTTTGCTCCATTAGCTTTGGCGGCCATCTTGAATCAAGGTGGCTCCAGATGTTGACTACTTTCTGAGAGTTTGCAGCTGGTTCGTTAGTTTGTTGATACAAACACACCTTTTCATGGTGATGGGTAATAAAAAGCACCTGCTGTTCAAAGATGAAGCAAATACTCACAACGATCTGATGTTTGAGGGAAAAAGATGATTCTTCAGTCACAACAACAAACCTTTGTCTTGTCTGACATTGGGCTCACCCAACAACAACCAGCCTCATATCACTTTAAGCTGGAAACACCGTGACACACCATTGATCTCTGAGGGGGGACTCCGGTTGTCTCGTCGGTCTAACGACTCCTCGACGGCAGACTTGGGAGTTAAAAACCACAGCTGTGGGACGTTTCTGCTCAGCTTGCAGACGGACTCGTGTCCACACATCCTCCCAGAGACGGGTGACCTCACGGCTCACCTCGCTCCTCCAGCGGCTCAAGGTGAAATTTGTCTAAACAACAACAAAAAAAAAAGCTCCACCTTTTCCGTTTTTTCTGCCGCAGCACACAAAGTTCAAGCAGACAGAAAATAAACGTCTAGAAAAGCGAAGCCGAAAAGCTTTACCTGAGCCGACAAGAAAAGAAAAGTAAGGCAGTGTGCTACAACTAGACAGGAGCAGGGTTAACACGTTAACTAGTAGCTGAGCCTGGAGCTGCAGAGGAGACGAACCTCGTCTCTTTCCCTGGTTTGGGTTTATGAAGCAGCAGCCAGTGGGCGTCAGAGATGCTGAGGCCACTGAGGCGTTTACAACGGATAATAAAAGCTTAATAATAAGTTGAAAGACGTACAACAGTGTGGATGTTTATGAAGCGTTCACATTGTGATCCATTTTTCTTCCGTATGTTTTTCAGCATCTTTCTCGTTTCACAGTTTTTGTGCCATTTCAACAAATCATAAATCAAAACGTTCAGCTCTTTCAGGACAATCCTGCTATGACTTTTGGTTTTGATGCAACTTTAGCTTGTTGAAATATTTAGCCTTTTCTGCCATTTTTTCCTCATAGGAAATGAATTGAACTCATTTTACCTCCTTCAAATCTTTAGATGTGTTTACAACCTTTTACTGCTTATTTCACATTTTGTTCTGGTTCAGCTTCTTTCAGCTTCATCCATCCATCCATTATCTTTACCCGCTTCTTCCATTTTGGGTCACGGGGGTCGCCGGTGCCCATGTCCAGAAATCACTGTGCGAGGGGCAGGGTACACCCTGGACGGGTCGCAGTCCATCACAGGGACACATACAACCATTCAGTCTCTCACTCACACCTAGGGACAATTTAGAGTTACCAATCAGCCTAACATGCATGTTTTTGGTCTGTGGGAGGAAACCGGAGTACCCCGAGAAACCCCACACATGCACAGAGAGAACATGCAAACTCCACCCAGAAAGGCCCCTGGACCGGGGTTTGAACCAGGGACCTGCTCACTGAGAGGCAGCAGCTCTACCAGTTGTGCCACCGTGCTGCCCTCTTTCAGCTTCCTTCTTTTTTTTTCAGCTACTTTCAGTTAATTTCAGCTGTTTTTTGCTGCTTTCAGAATCTTTCTGCTAACTACAACATTTTTGTGCTTCTTCTAACTTCTGCTAATTTCAGATTTTTATGCTCCTTTCAGCTTATTTATGCACGTTTCTGCAATTTCAGCTACCGGTACCATTTAGCGGTTTTATGCTCATTTTAGCTTTTTCCGCTAATTCCACATTTTTTGCACTCATTTTAACTTTTTTCAGCTTAATTCTGCAAAAATGTGCTCTCTCCTCTTCCTTCTGATAATTTAAGCTTCTTTCTGCCTTTTCAGCTGTTTTATGCCGATTTCAGCTTTTTTCAGATAATTTTCACTTGTTTGTGCTCATTTCTGCTAATTTCAACCTAATTGGGCAAACGTGTTTTCCACTTTTTCTGCTAATTTAAGTTTGTTCTACCCTTTCAGCTACCTTTTGTAAGCTAATTTCAGTTGTTTTCAGATAAATTCAAGTTCTTCATGTTAATTTCTGCTACTTTCAGCCTAATTGACTTATTTATGATAATTTCAGCTTGTTATGCTCCTTTCAGCTTTTTCTGCTCTTTCAGCTATACTGTTCAGCTCTTTTGATGCTAATTTTAGCTTTTTAAGCTAATTCCACATTTTTTAGCTTATTTCAGATCTTTCCACTTCCTTCTGGTAGTTTCAGCTTCTTTTGCCTTTACAGCTACTTTCAGCTATTTTTTGGTGCTCATTTCTGCTTATTTAAACCTAATTCAGCAAACATGTTCTTTCTGCTTTCTTCTTCAGATTTAGGCTTGTTCTTTTATTTCAGCTATTTTTCATGGGTTTTTTTTAAGCTAATTTCAGCTGTTTTTCAGCAATAAGTATTCACAGTGCATTTTTGCAGAAAATGCCATTTCTCTAGTTATTAACTTATTTATTTAGTTAGTCTCAAATAGAAAACACACCAGCTGAGCTCCATACAAACTCATTTTTGCTTGATGTTTTATTTCCTTATTTATATTTCTGGGGGAGTGGTGGCACAGCGGTTAGGGAAGGCAAAACAATGATCAGGAGGTTGCTGGTTCCAATCCCCCTGACCATGACATCAAAATGTGGGTGGGAAAGATGAAGCACCCACACCTGCCTCTGTCCTCATTTGCCCCACTTTGGGCCCTTGAGCAATGCCCCGGTTTCAACACACCTGAATCAAATAATTACCTGCTCGGGCTGTCATCAAGTTTAGCAGAAGCCAAAGACTCGTTCATTTCTGACAGGTGTGTTGAAGCAGGGGAACGTTTAAAACATGCAGGACAGTTCGCCATTAGACTGCTCTAAACCTCAGCACTCTCCTAATGTTGGGTTAGAAACTATAGTTCAAGTGGGGTTTCTCTTCTGGCCACCCCGGTGTGATTTATGAATGAACCGAATCAAACAACACCAACCCACCCAATGCTCCTTTGTGCCAAAGGTAGTAACAGAGGCTAAACAGTTGACATGTGAAAATGTAAGCAGGTGTTGCAGCTCAGTGATGTGACAAAGTGATGACACACAATCTGAGCAGCCGGTCGCAGGATTAGACAACAAAAACAAATTTATTACCAAAGAAAGATTTTTAGCAATTTCATATTTAGTTTAAAATAAATTAGTCACAAAGAGAATCGCTAAACAGATATGTCGTGTTTTGAAAACAACTTGAGGCCAACGTTCACGTCACGTTTAACGAGCTGCACTTCACATGAACGTGGACGAGTTCTGCTTCGTGCCTCGTTTGGTTCCTGTACCCAACATGGCCGGCTACATCTGTGATTCACGAACAGCAAGAAGGACAAAGACAGATGTGCGCGTGACGCCATTTTGCTGAACAGTTTTATAAAAAAGAGCTCTTTGAACAACCTCAGAATGGAGCACTTCCAGCAGGACAATCAATTTCTGCCTGAATTACCAGTAAAGGTTGTGGCCTCATTCGGACTAGCCAAACTAACTGAGGTCTTTCAAAGTGCTACCTACAACAGGTAAGATATTAATTGTTCATAACCCATCATTTTCTTCCTGTGTTTTATGTCCTCACTCTGTAGCTCAGGGGATGTTATTAGAGAGACTCTAGTTGCATCTGGTGCTTCATGATGGAGAAGTATTGATTTTCATCTGAGAGGCCTTATCAGACAAAGAAGGGCTGCATAATCACCTACATGCAGTTAGCACGTGCTGTTAAACCAGATGTTTAGCTTGAAAACATCCAGTTCAGCTGCTGGCTTAAAAAAAGAACCTGGAAACGAGAAGGGGGGTAGAAAAACTAGAATAAAAAAAGTCTCAAAATAATTAAGACAAAAAAAAAAAACAGCTAACAGATGTTTTCTCTACTGATGCTTCTTGAAATTATCAGCTCACTGTGAAAAGCACAGCGCTCACAAGCTTTAAACTGCAGAGTTGCTCTGTTTAAGGGCGCACTGAACTCACCTGCAAATCACTCCCTGCCCTCTCTCTCTGGGGTCACAAGAACTGTATTAGCCAGGTCCACATGGGGGACGTTTCGGCCACAGGCTAAATCAAGCCAGCTAATATCCAAACAACCCTCAGAAGGGAGGGGAGGGAGAGTGATTTGCACTCGAGTTATGATCAAGCACATGAATTTAACACCAAAAGAAGAAGTTTTTTACAAGTACATGTAATTAATGCGTTATTATTAAGTTATTAATCATGATGGGCTTGACTCTGTTTAAAACAGCTTTAAACAGCCTGTGTGTATTACCTGAGGAGGAGGTCGGGCTCAGTCTAATCTCTGGGTACCGTTAACATCACACAGCAGAGGAGCTCCTGCAGAACCACAACACACCGCCTGTCTGCGGGGCTACAAAACAAGCCAACCCCGCCGGACTGAGCTCCTGTCATCCAGTGAGAGCTGCAGCTCCTTGTCTCACACAGCAGCGTCCGTGGTACCTTCCAGAAAGCCTGGTTTCCACCAGCCTGTCTGATGCTAACCGGTCTTTAGCGCGGCTAACAGTCGGTACCGAGGCTAACACGGGCGGGTTATCGCTAACTTTAACAAATCTGCACTAACTCTCCGGGAGGTGTTTAAGCCACCGTGCCCCTGCGAAGGCTCCGATAATGAACATATTGATGTCGAACCGCAGAGTGCGGCCGCTGTCATGCTGTGTGAACCTCCCCCCGGGCAGCAGAAGCCCCTCACCGCCGGCGGAGGCAGACTGAGCCCCGGGCTCAGGGTTCGCTGCAGCCGCTCGGCGGCAGCGGGCCCTCGCTTGTTTACCTTCTTGTCGATGCGGACGGTGAAGACATCCCGGTCCCTCAGGGGCTCCTTGCTGAGCACCAGGCCGTGGTTGAACTCCTGGACGGGCTGGTTGCGCCGAGCGGTTCGGTTCGAGTTGGACAGGCCGACCAGCTTTCCGCTCCGCGGATGCAGCTCCGCCGCCATCTTCAATGGGCGGCCAAGGTTCACGACACCGAGGTTTTACGACAGTCCTGTTTCATTTACGGTCTTGGTGGTTGCGTCACGATTCCATGGTAACGGTGTTGACAAGTTCTTCACTTCCGCCTTAAACGACCACGCTGCTTGTCATTTATTTTTAATAATTAAAATTGACACAAGATGTTCAAATGTAACATTATTAATTTATTATTTTTAATTTTAACTTTTCTCAGATTTTTAGCTTAAACACGATGTCCCACAACTATAATATTATTGCCTCTTTAAAAAAAAAAAACGTACATGCTAGTTTTTTTGTAAGAGTAGGTAATAATATTATATGGTGCAGAGGATATTTTGTGATAAAAGTTTCAAATGATGCAGACAATACAAACCCATGGTGCTTAGTGTGTAAAAAGCAACAAAAGGGTAACAGAATTTTCAACTTTCATCTCAGATAAGCTTCAGCTTAAAGGCCTAGTGTCCATTGTTCCACTTTTCAATAAAAATATAATATACTGATTTTATGTTTTTGTTTAATCTTAAGAATTTAGTGGATTTGGATTTCTGTGCTGCTTCTGTTGACCAAGATATTTACCTGAACAGATTACTGTAGAGAAATTATTAGACTATCCTGAACCAGCTCCACATAATAGCTGTTAGCTCAACTCCACTCAGACTAGGAGTTAGCTCAGTTCCCCTGGAATCATAGAGACACCTGTTGACCAAAATATTTTATTAGACAGGCTAAAAGTGTGTTAGCTCATCTGGTCCAGTTCTAAAATATCTGAGAACAGGCAATATATAGTTTTTAGTGTATTTTAGTGATTGTACATCTCACAAAGAAAGTGTTTGGTGTGATGGAGTACCCCAACGCTCTAGTTTTGGTCCAAAATTATAAAATTTTTATTTGTAGCCCCATTGTACATGCTATTCTAAAATGTAACCTAAACTAAAATAATTATGCAAAGGACTTGCAGCTGTACATTTTTTAACATATCCTCATGATTTAGGTAAGGCGGCACGGTGGAGCAGTGGGTAGAGTTGCTGCTATCAGCGAGAAGGTTGCAGGATTGAATCTCCTCCAGAGGGCCTTTCTGGGTGGAGTTTGCATGTTCTCTCCACGCAATGCGTGGATTTTCTCCAGGTACTCCGGTTTCCTCCCAAAAACATGCATGTTAGGCTGATTGGTAACTAAATTGTCCCTAGGTGTGAGTGAGAGAGCGAATGGTTGTTTGTCCCATTTTTCTCTATGTGTCCCTGTGATGGACTTGTGGCCTGTCCAGTTGTCCCCCACCTCTTATACAGTGACAGCTGGATATGGACACCAGTGGCACCAGTGACCCCACGTGACTCGAAAAGGAAGATATTGAAAAAGTTAATGTCTTGATGAATGATTTAGATACACTCCTTACACAGTGTACACGTAAATTTTCAAAAACCTCTTACAACTAAAGTTAGAACATAAATCATAAAGCCTCCATTTTGCACTGCAATAAATAAATAAAATGTAAAAATACAAGAAACCTGAGTGTATTAACAGTGATCTAAATCTTCTAAGCCAATTTTTTTTTAAATGAAACGTATGTGTGTGTGCATGTCCATTTCTTTGTACCTTTGTTTTTATTTGATTGTTTTTTTCTCTGATCTCTAATGGGATGCTCACTGTGCTCCTGTATGTATGAAGTATGCCTTATAATGAAATCTTGATGTATTGAGTTACAAACATCAGCCACAAGATGATGGTATGTATTTAACGTCATCTTCAATGATCCACTAGAGGGAGCAACTAAATCATTAAATCATCCAGTGCTGTGCCTTCTGAGTCCAACACATGGAACACAATTTAACCTTCATTTTACCTTTAATGCAGCAGCAAAATTAATATTCACCAATAACCATTTCAGGGAGAGTTTATTCAGAATCATCCATTTCTTTGCAACAACGCCACCGAGATCAATTTGTATGACTGGTTTCAGCTGCAATGAGAAAATACGTCCATTTATAAAAATTTAATTCTGTAATGAATTACTTGTACATTTTCTAAGCTTGACTTGAACAAGGGCTAAAACTGAGCACTTACTGGGAGGCCAAAGCGGCAGTCTGAGCATGGTGTGCAGTGGAAAAATACTGAATCAACTGGCTCCTGAGGATCGACGTGAAGCAACAAACCCAGACCGAAGGCAGAAACTTACCATTTATAAACGGACTGAGGCTCAAGAAGTGATGGAATGGTTTGCATTTTTTTAACTCTTTCAAGTCGTATCGCTTTATTCTCACCCCACACTCCTTCCCAACACAAAAGACATGCAATTTGTCTGTTAGCATAATATTTCTTGAATCACTGCATAGATTTTAATGAAACTCTGAGGAAATAATCAATGGATGAACATCTATCTACAACGTTTAGAGTCAACTTGATTTAAGATGGATGTCAAAGCTGATCGACCTCCGGAAACACAAAAATGGCTATATTTCGGTCGTTTTTACAGATAACGAGCTAAAATGTAGTGTGGTTGTAGCTGACAGTCATCCCCAATATGTACCTGAAGCACTAACGGCTCACACAAGGTCTTTGATTAAATCTTTTTTATGCAAAGTTGTGAATTTCTTTTCAAAGTATGCAATAGTTTCATTTTATACTACATGTTTTCGCTCGTTGTGTATCTTTAAGTGAGTCATTTTTGTAGTTTGATGTGGTTTGTGGTGATTTTGACTCTAAATGTGTCGTTTGAATTTAATTTTAGTTGATTTATTTTTTTTATTTTACTTTGAAACTCCGCTTCTTTTACCCTATATTACGCCTTTTTGTTAGATGTTCAATGTGTCTTTTTGTTGCATCTTTTAGTTTGTATGGAAATGAAGTCTTAACGTTCCTTTTTGTCTTGTTTCAACGAGTCTCTAAACCGGTGGTTCCCAACCCTGGTCCTTGAGGAACACCGTCCTGCACATTTGACTTGTTTCCCTGCTTTGACACACCTGATTTGAATGAATGGGTGATTAACAGGTTTCTGCAGAACTTGAGCAAGTAATTAAATCACTGAATCAAGCGTGTTGGAGCAGGAAACAACTGAAACATGAAGGATGGTGTTCCTCAGGGACCAGGGTTGGGAACCATTGCAAATCTTCATGGCCACTTCACGTTTTTGTATCAAACAGATGGTATTTTCTCTCTTAATCTAAAAGATTGAAATTTAAATTTATCTTAGTCAAATATACATTTATTTTGTTGTATTATGGGCGTATATGGGGCTATGCATTTGCATTTTAGGTGCTGGTGTGTTTACATTAGTCTGTAAACAGGTTTATTCTGTATTCTTATGGTGCTGGGGCTCAAAAGCAGAGGAATAAATGCAGCAGCAGCAAACATTCAGTCCGCAGACGGAGCTCGCTGGCTTTTTGTGGTTTCACGCAGGACAGCTGTGAGATGAGACTGACATGTGTTTGACGGATAAATCCAAATCCAAGTCCTTCCCTTGGACTTGGATCTTCTGCAGACAGCCCGTCAAGAAGTGAGAACCGCCGATACCTTCACCTGAAAACCGACAAAAGGGGGAAAAGGACAGCACTTATTACAAAGTGGCTTTTTATTATGAATGAAAGTGTGCAAGCTGCTCAGAAATGATTTTTAAAAAGTAATCTCACCCAGAAGACCACCGATAGCAAGTTGAGCTTCTCTTAAAGTTGTGAAATAACCGGGGTCGCTCACCACACCGGCCAGCGTTATCAACTTTGATTCATCTTCGTCTGGAAGCACTTTTACTAAATCCTTCAGGAAAGTAATCAGCAGTCTCTTGAAGCTGTTTTTCACAGCGATTTTTTCCGCCTTGGATGTGACTATGACTTCCTGTAAATCAGAAATGGAAACATGTTCAACTCTGCACGTTTGCAGATTATCGTATTTTTTGGACTACAAGGCGCACCGGATTATAAGGCGCAATATCAATGAACGGGTCTGTTTTCATACATAAGGTGCATTAAGTGCAACAAAACCGTCAGATAAGTCAAACTTTATTCAATTCATTCACAATAACCACATAAAACTGGTTCAAGGTCAGTAAGCACAACCAGAATTAATACATAAGGTGCACCTGATTATAAGGCTCAATGTCGATTTTTGAGAAAATTAAAGGATTTTAAGTGCACATTATAGTCCAAAAAATACGGTATTGAGTGTAATTTAAAATGACATGTTCGTTTGTGTTCATTTGGCTTCACACCTTGGTGCTATTGCTCACTGCTGCGGTAAATAACAGCTCATCCTGTGAAGACTTGACGCTCAAAATGGTTCCGTCCATCTGACTGAAATCACCCCAAAACTCCACCCTGAAGCCACGATCTTCATCGATGGAGAAAACTGCAGACAGACCAAGTCACAGCTTGAACACAACTGGAGAAACTGCATTTCCTCTGGAAAGACAGCGTGAAAGCTTATTGCTGAAACCAGCTGAAAAGGTTTTATCGCTAAACTAATAAATGTGAGTTGAATTTGAACAGCTGACGTTTGCTGAAAGCAGGAGAATAAAAGCGGAAAGCTGCAGGAAAAAATGTAGAAATGTGTGGAAAAAGCTGAATAGGGAAGAAATGTAGCAGAGGTCAGAAAAATGAGCTGAAATAGGCAGGGAGGGGCTGAATATATTACAAAAATAATCTGAAAATTAAAAAAAAATGTACAGAAAAAAGCTGAAATGATCATAGAAGTAGCTGAAAAGTGTTTTTAAAAAAGATGAAGAGACTGAAAGGAGCCTAAAAAGTTGAAATTATTAGAAAGAATTTTTTTTAAAAATTGGAAAATATCAACAAATAAAGCAGAAAAAATTAAAAAGTACCGTATTTTTCACCATGTAAGTCGCATCTTTTTGTAAAAATTTGCAAGTCCTGCAACTAATACACATTTACCCCCCCCCCACACACACACACACACACACACATATTAACCCAATTTTTGGCTAAGATCTGACAATTTCATTCATTCTGACATGGAAAATATTGAACACTACCATTTTCAGCCACTAGAGGGCCCTCAAGCAATATGACAAGCCAAGTGTTTCATAATAAACATAAACACAGAAAAAGAAAGAAAGAGCTAAATATTTAAAAACAAAATTCACAAATACCAAACGTCATAGCAGGAATGTCCTGAATGAGCTGAACGTTTTAATGTAAATTGTTGAAATAGCATGAAAAATGTGAAACAAGCTACATGCTGAAAAACGTAAAAATGTTTCTCAATAGTGACAATGTTTTATAAACATTTACGAATAATCAGCGGAAAAGATTGGATTTAGTAACATTAACTCATTAAGTTCAATTAACTAATAGTGGATTGGACGCTAAACAAAATTCAGACTGTGCCTTGCAAATGTAGACAGTTCAAGTCAATAGAAAAGCATAAAGATATTATTAAAGGAACAGTTCAGATCTTTTGAAATGGGGTTACCTCTTACTTTAATGAACCTTGACCCTAAGATCGAGGCACGTACCAAATAGTGACTTATTTATACTGATACGCCCCTTCTGATCCGAATTAAACCTTACTGAGGTTGTTCAAAAAACTATCTACAACAGGTAAGATATTGATTGCTCATAACCGTTCATCAGAACCCCACAATCCCTTTGAAACTTGCTTATAAATTGTACACTTCAGCACGGGGCTTCCACCTGAGGTGTTGAAAACAGCCAGTCCTTTGCCAGCGAAGTAGCTGCCTGGTTGGATGTTTTGATAGCAGAGCCAGAGCTCCTCAGCCTCGACCTCCCAGGGGATGCTGAGGTTTAACCAGCTGCCTTCCCGAACACAGCCGTCCATCTGCGGCTCAAACTACAGAAACATTGCGCAACAGTGCATTTAGAAGGAACGCAAGGAAAACAGGGAACAGTAAACGTACTTGCTGTGACTAGCTAAGTAATGTTTAACAGCATATGGTCACATGTCCAAAAACACGATAGAACACCAACAAAAACAATAAAATATTGTAAAGACCACAGTGAAAGAAATTTATGAAGCTTCATAGGATTGATTTTTTTCTTATCGTGACAGAACAACGTCTTAAAGACAGTAAAAGTCACAGCACCTGGACAATCAGCTTGTCCTTGTCGATCAGGATTCCACCAAGAGCCAGTCGAAGTTCACCAGAGATGACCTCCTGTGTCTGTTTGGACTGCATGCCCACCTCCAGTCCAGATAAGCCGTCCACTAACAGAATCACAAACTTCCCCTCGTTGCTCACCTCCAACTTGGTGGCATTCCCAATAAAAGAGGCACAGCAAACAGTTCTTTGTGATTCGTGATTACTTCAGAAGAGTTTTAGCTGCTCCGGAAACTCACCGTGTGCCATTTCCCATCATTGAGCTTCAGTCCACCCGTCACGCTGACGAGAACATCTTCTTTGCTGATCTGCATGAGGGGGAATCCGTCCCTCAGAGACAAAACAAACCAGTCCTCTCCATTTTTGGTGTCCCCGTAGAAAATTGCTCCTTCGGGGTCAAAAGTCCGAAAGTGAAAAGACGACTTGATGCTGCGCAAACAAAATACAAGAAGAAGACATTTCCAATGTCATCGCTAATGCAGAAGCAAACTCTTATTTAAAGTGGTGGTTCCATCCATCCATTATCTTTTACTCGCTTCTTCCATTTTGGGTCACGGGGTCGCCGCTGCCCATGTCCGGCAATCACTGTGCGAGGGGTGGGGGACACTCTGGACAGGTCTCCAGTCCATCACAGGGCCACAGAGACAAATGAGACAAACAACCATTCACTCTCTCACTCACAGGGACAATTTAGAGTTACCAATCAGCCTAACATGCATGTTTTTGGTCTGTGGGAGGAAACCGGAGTACCCACGCATGCACAGAGAGAACATACAAACTTCACCCAGAAAGGCCCCCGAACCGGGATTTGAACCAGGGACCTGCTCGCTGCGAGGCAGCAGCTCTACCAGTTGTGCAACCGTGCTGCCAACTGGTGGTTCACAAAGCAAAAATCTTTTGGTAATTTTAAATCTAACAAAGCAAGTGTTTGGTGTGGAGTACCCCAAGGCTCTAGTTTTGGTCCAAAGTTATTCAATTTTTATGTGCATATGTTGAGAAAGCTTATGCCTGACCTTCCAAACTCATTATGCTCTCAGCAAATTCTACTGCATTTAAATTATGGTCTGAATTTAGAGCACCACTTCAAAAAAAAAAAAAACTATAAATATTCCCATAAACTTAAATTTCAAGGCTAAAAGAGGAAAGCGGTGCCAGTAGAGTAAAGTGTTCAAACTGCAGTCTTGTTTACTTGGTGATCTCGGAGAGGTTGGCTGTCGTGCGGATCAGTGGCCTCCAGGGGTCTCTTTCCTGACCGAGGTAGATGATGGAATCACCCGCTACTTCTTTCTAGAAAACACAATCATAAAAAGACGCTGCGCTCAGTTAACACAAACACATTGGCTCTTTCATGCACCGTGCATGTTCGTTGTGTTTTACAGCCATATGTCTCCATCGATTAACAGTTAAACCCATATTGATCTCACCTAAAGCAGAATTACTGTGTAATGAGGGACGTGTGGACAAATCCTTAAGCAGAAATAAAGTGTTAAATCAATGTTGACGCCGTTCACATGCGTATGGAGAAATAATCCCCCTGAGGAGAGCAATCGTTGCTGCTAGGGCGCTGAGTTATCCACAAACTGAGCAAAGTCCTAAGTCTAAACCCCTCTTAGACCCAGTGCAGGGTTGGTTTGGGGGGTTAAATTGAACACTTTTACAACAGAATCGCATCAAACACCTTTAGAGACGTCTTTGTTCAAGATAGTTTGTTGTGCCATGAGCACAGCACCAGTTTAACTGGAGTCCAGGTGCACGTACTTGAGTTTTTAAACAGATTTAGTTTTGTTAAGATAAGTTTAGCTTGGTTTAGACTTTTAGTTTATGCATTGATTTAATGTAGCTTTATCTATAGTTGTGTTTAAAGATGAGGTTGGTTTGGGTCTAGTTTAGTTCAGATAAGTTTCATGGATATTCAAATGGCGGGTCGGGGGCCAAATCAGGCCCACAGGTGAGCTCAGTTCGGCCCACCAGTGGGTTCATTTTTAACGAAAACTAGATTTTAAACCGTAAAACAAACTTATTTAATGACAATAACTGCTGGATGTCCAGCCCCTGAGCTCTTGGATTCGGTAACTGTTTATTAGTTGAATAGCCCTGGTTTAGATAAACTTAATTTAGTTGAGCTTAGTTTAGATTTAGCGGCATCTTAGTTGAGTTTTAATTTCATTTTAGTTTTTGTTAGGAAACTGATTTAGTTCAGTTTCAAACCTAAACTAGTTCCAGTTTAAAATTTGATTAGTTTTAGTCTTGTTTAGTTTAATATTCGCTCCATATGGTTGGGTTTACTTTTAGTTTAGTGTAATATTTAAACTAATCTAGCTTGTGTTCTGGCTTAGAAATTAATTCAGTTTAGTTTTTGTTTAAATTTAAGAGAGAGCTTAAATATTTTAGTCTGGTTTTAGTTCTAGTTTAGTTGAATTAAGCTTTAGTTTACATTTAGTTACACATAAAAAAAAAAAAAAGTGTACAGAATCAAAAAAATCAAAAAGGTCGGCAGGATCAGAAACGTGGCTCCAGAACATTTCAGCTTCAGAGAGAGACTGGTTAAAATGTACAAACATTACAGCCTCAACAACTGTTTTATTAGTTTTCATTCATTTATGACCACTGTGGGTCGTTTTCATAGTTAACAATTATATTAAAAAAATAAGAAGCTATAATCAGACTTCTAGGAATCAGGATTCCTCGACTGGTGTTGTCCAACCTACAGTGAAGTCTTGACTCCAACTTTTCGGACCGCCGTATTGAAAAAAAAACTCCGGATATCACATTATTTGAAGAAAATAAACACGTATCGATCATAATTAAACATGTAAACACACATGAAGCATTTAGGACCTTACAGACTTTAAAATTGACAGTAATGTTATTCTTTCTGCTACAACCTTCACACACGTTCATCCAGGGCCGTACATACCTTATCCCGGCCGGTCCTCTGCCCTTCAACTTGCCCCCACAACAGAGCGAGGCCGACGGTGAAGAGCAGTCCACCTGCCACCATTTTCCAAAACATGGCCATCCTTCAGCGCATCCACCGCCCCCCAGAGCCTTCGGGCACTCCGAGCTTTTCCTGAGGCGTCAGGGAGCAGAGTGCACGCCGCAGCGCGTGGGTGTACGCTGGCACACCGTCCGGGGGTCCAGAGGGCAAACGGGGCCCGGTCAGTTCAATCTGCAGGAGGAAGAGCCTCACGGCTGAAATTGGTTTGAGCAAAATGATCCCTGGTGGAAAAAGCTGCGGGAACTCAAAGTTGTAAAGAAACAGAGAAGCCTCTATAACCAGAATGACGTGGTCTTAAAACTACCCGTCAAATCAGCACAGCTGGATTCATAAATCACATTTAGGAGCAGCAGGAACGGATTTGAACGTATCCAGCAGAAAACAACTTTAAATAACTTCCCTGCCTTTTGTGGAGACTCGTGCGGCGGTGACACAACTATCAGCTGGGTCAGTGACCTCGGCCGGACCACTGATGTGTGTTTACCCACATACAGAAACCTTGAGTTATCTCAGCCGGCCCCAGCTCAGTGTGCATGTGTGTGTGTGTGTTGCAGCGAAAGACAAAAATGTTCACTTCAAGCCACAAAGCGGTTTTCTTTTTTCTGCTCTCTTCTTCCCCTGATATGATCTCCTTCCAGGAAGCCTGTGAGATCTGGAAAGTACTGGATAAAAGGCAACACACACAGACAGGCTACTGTTAATCAGATGTCGGGGATTAGGAGTTAATCTGAAAATGTGGAATCAAACCCGAGCACGGCGTTGTTTTTACTCCTGCGTGCTCTCTCAGAATGAGGCCTAATAACCGATTTCATTTTGACGAGTGTCGCAGCAGGTGACAACACGGATGAAGGCAGCGATGATCGTAAACGAGCCTATTTAAACGGACAGTTCAGATCTTTTGGAGTGTGGTTAAGTGGAAAGGTTATGAACGCGTAGTATCTTACCTGCTGTAGACACGTGTCTCAGAGTTTGGAGATGTTTGCTGCGTTCAGAAGTTTGGACTTGTATCTGGGAGTTTCGCCACGTTTCTGTTACGAGGAAACTCGTAAGATTTCTTTAAAACCCTATGCAAACGCAGCACATTACTAAAACCGTTTGAATTACTGATACAAACTGACAGAAATAAAAATATTAATGTAGCCACGGCAATTTTTTCTACGAGAAGCAGTTGGGTTGTGTTTTGAGGTTCCTTCATCGAAGGGCGTTGCAGCCGATTTGTCCAACATGAAACTCTTTTCTTCCAACAGATTAGAACAATAACATTCAATTCTGCTTGGATTGACGAGCAACGGGCTCGTCCCCGCAAAGTCGAAACTAAAGTGGATTGCTATCGTCTTGAAACTAATCCGGTGGTTCCTAACTCAGGTCCTTGAGGAACACCATCCTGCATATTTTAGTTATTTTCTTGCTCCAACACACCTGATTCAGTGATTTAATGACGTCCTCATGTTCTGCAGAAGCCTGTTAATCAACCATTCATTTAAATTGGATGTGTCAAAGCACGGAAAAAATTAAAACATGCAGGATGGTGTTCCTCTAGGATCAGGGTTGGGAACCATTGCATTGTTCACGTGAAGACTGGCTTATAAACTTTTATACTGTTATCATTTTCATAAAACGTAATTTTTCTCGCCGAAACATTATAATCCTACTGCAGGAAGTGCTCCAGGTTGAACAGGAAGTGCTACAGTTAGCTGCTGCTGCTGCTGTTTACCCTGGCTAATAAGAACAGTATTTTTAATTAAATTAATTAATTCAACCTTTATTTAGACAGTTAAATCCCATTGAGCCTCGAGGACTCATTTACAAGAGACCTGATTTGAAATTACTATAAAATTAACAACTGACAGTAATGTGACGGTGTGTAAAATAACATTTACCTGAACCATTGTTTTGTTTTTAATAAGAGCCATTTTTAGACAACAATCCACTTTAATCTTGTTCCTGCTGACTAGCCATTCGTTCGTCAACCTGGTCGGTATTAAAACTCTGTTTCTCCAAATTGAGGTTGTTTAAAAAGGTATCAGCAGCAGATATTAATTGTTCACAACTTTTCTACAGAACCCCACTTTAAAAGAGCTGAACTATCCCTTTAATAAAACTGAATGCCTCAGCCTTTCGTTTAATAAAAAGTCGCATCTGTTGCAAAATATGATTACAACAAAGGTTGTGAACACATTATTTAACAAAACCGTGAACATTTGTAAATAATTGTGCTGGATGCTAAATCCAACTTTAATGTATTAAAATTTTAATTAATGTTGTAATTTCTTCACGTTAAGACTCATCAAACTGACTGACAGCGCTCAATCAGTTGTTCTGATTCTGCTAAGTGCACGCGTGCCAAACATATGACTCGTGGGCCACATCTGGCCCTTATTAACATTTCATCCGGTCCCCAAGACAATATTTTACATGTAAAAAAATGTTTATTGCTTTTCATTTAGCTTAAAAACAGAACATTCCTCATTTAGTCCAGACTTCTCTTGACAGTTTGCTAACTTTGAAACCAAGTTTGAATTTTTCAGGAATCTTTGACTTTGTTGCAGAAAGAGTAACAGAGTGCGTCAAGTGAGATAAACCAAGAAAACATGTCGAGTATCGGACTTGAGTTATTGTCCTGAATGCAACTGTCCCTTGGACAAGGTTTTAAATTTGGGCCCCCTTTTGTACCGAAACACAAATAACTGAGAGATCCCTTCAAAATTAAGCCAGACATTTACTTTAACAGCTCAATTATAAAGCTAAAGTCACAAACGGTTGCTCTGACAGAATATCAGCATAGGTCAACATAATATATTAGTCCCTCATTACTTTGCGTTCTTACTTTTGCGGACTCGCTCTTTCACGGTTTTTCAACGTTAAGATTGTACACGACACACAATTTTCAACTTTAATATCAATCACGTGATCAGGACAGTACGGGATACAGTAAAAAGTTGTTTTTTTTAAACTTCGGACAGGCGCCACCATTTTGTAGTTTTCTCTCAATAAGCCTATACTGTATTGCCACTAAAAAAGGACTACATTACCCAGAAGCCAACAGTGCACCACCCAGAAGCCAACAGTGCTTCCAGCCGTTGCTTTCTGTTGAAATGGAGGGAAAGTTTTGATCCGACCCAAAAAATTTCAGTCCTTATTCACAGTGACTCAGTGGATGCAGAGAGCCGTACGGAACCGACCGGGGAAGTGGACCAGAACTGGACTTCCATCCTCATCGGTCAATCTGAGCGCTGCTTGCTGGCCCACAAGGCCTCTCGAGCGGGGAGGCGTTGTTTGGACATCCGGTGCTTTCTCCGGCTCTCACTGGGACTTTTTTCCATCCAGATTCGGACTCTTATCGGGACCATTGTGTGGTTTTGTGCTGGCTCTCCGAAGGTCCGGCTCTCTCTAAGTGTCTTGGTGCTTCAAGGGCTGCAGAGAGCCGATCAGAACCGGACCAAGGTTGGTGAGTACCACTATAAAATTTGGCCGCACATATCTAATGTACAGTACATATATGTATGTTGTTAAAATTACGTAGGTTTAAGAGTTTAGAACAATGCAAGCGTGTGGGAAGGATTTATAAAGCCTTAAAATATATATATACTAAAATAAATATATCATTCCTACTTGTGCGGATTTTCACGGGGTCCAGAACGTAACCCCCGCGATAAACGAGGGACTATATTGTATTCCAAAACAATAATTTAAAATGAAAACCACTTGGGGATAAAAAAGTTTGACATTAAATAAAATATATTTATTATTTCGTTGTTTTATTCTGTATAACTAAAATATTCCGGGTACTCGGGAGAAATGCGTGCAAGAGTCAAACTGAAAAAAAATCAACATTTACCGGATCTTAAAACACGAGACCGGACACGAGCTGATGTCATTGGGTCGTCAGGTTAATACTTTATTCTGTTTGATTGCAGCAAAGAGAAAGAAACGGGAGACGGAAACGAGGAGAAAAGGGAGGGAGACGAGAAGAATGTGGGAGGAGGAGGAGACTACAGACTTTGGGAGAGCTGTGGCTACAAGCCTTTGTATCAAATCTAAAGACAGAGTCATCAGGCAACATTAGAACATCTCTGAAAAATAACATGAACGTATTCTGTGGGCTCTATATGGCACAGTATTACCCTAGACATGTACACGATACCGAAAACAGTTTAGCCACACTCCTACATCTATGAACAGCTTCATAGCAAAAACAAAGCCATAAACTCCATCTCCAAATGGGTCGTCTCTTAAGAAAAACAAAAAAAAACAACAACTTTCATTTACCGTTTGAATTTCTTATGCCATAACAAGGCACCGTAACAGTTGAAATCCGGCAGATCCGCGTCTTACAATAGTTATTTAAATATCAAAGCAGAGGCACATTCATTTGAACTAAAACGTACAGTAAATAGTTGTGAATCACCACCAGGTTCCAGTCCAGTCACAAGACGTCGATTCGCATGCTTTTGGTCTGTGTTATCACCGTGATGGCAAACTGTGGCGTAAGAAATGGTCCGAGAACTACAAACATGGCCACCTACGGGAATGGCTTGAGACGGTGTACTGGAACAGCAAGGCTTCATTTGATTTGATCTTTTTTTTTTTTTTTTTTTAAACATCAAAACTAACCCACAGAAATGTTTCACAGAATAAAAATGATTTCTAAAATAAAATTAAAATAAAGAGCTGGCCCATTTTCTGCCAAGGGAGACGCTGCTCAGGCTGATTTGTTTTGGTTTTCTCGCTCTCTCGCATACACACACACACTCATACACAAGTAGTCCATTTTGAAGAAGGTGCAACGAGCTATGTGCTAAAATGTGGCTTTTTTTTTTGTCTTTCTTTAAAACTCAAAACTGTTTATAATGAAAAGTCAAATTTGTAACAGAGATGCGAAAAAAAAACAAAAAAAAACAGGAGAACGTAAAAACAAAAGCAGTGCGCACGGTGCCGGATCTGCCGAGGGTATAAACAGTTAGGAAGCGAGTGTTGCTCATGCTTTGTGGATACAGAACCCAAGTTTTACGGACATGTTTCCTAGGACTACTGTATATATGCATACCAGACGTTATACGGTTCTTTAACAGGTTATTTGTGTCAAAGCAAACAGGAAAAGGAACTGAAACCAACTCTACCATTAATGCAGCTGAACTTCATTAACCTCTGACTACATTTACATTCAGTTTTTTTTTTAGTTTTACTCCCCCAACTGAAGCCACTTCCATCAGGTAAGAGGGCTAAACAACATAAACAACAACATAGTTTAACAAAACAAACATATAAAGATAATATTACATGTAAAAAAAATAATAACCGCCCCCTCCAAAGAGGGCATCTGGAAAGTTTCGGCCTCAACACTTTGGCTGCTAAGCTCAGCCTTTTCCTACGACTGGGTAAACGACACGGGATCAGGCTTGTGTTGTTCTTATTTGCGCCCGGCGTCGTTTCTTGTTGGATCCTACTGATTCAGAGTCCCAACAGTTGTGTGCCTATATATTAATCTTCCTATCCAGAAATACCCTGAATCTCTTATTTTTTCTTCCTTGCTTTATATCCTCCCCGTCTTAGGAAATTGGGCCTTTTCTCCAAGAGGGGAAAAAAAGCTACACAACATGAAGGCTGACTGGTTTTCATTTATTTATTTATTTATTGTACTTTTTAATTATTTGAAGGAAATGAGATGAAAAACGGAAGTGCAACGGTTCACCAGCCTTTCCTTCTTACCCAGTGGCCAGCTACATTTTCCAAAGCAGCTACATGTGTCCCCCGTTAAGCGACCACTACGTTTTCTATTTTGTGCACAGAAAATATAAACTATTGTGAAGGCTTTACATATCCTCGCCTTGCCCTCGAAGTCAGACTTAATGATATGACGATCTGTTGTCACGCGCTCACATCCAGCCAAAGTTTTTGACTTTTTAATGATTTGGATACGAGAGAAAGAAAAAAAATCACTTCTAAAAGCACTTCTACATATACAGTAGCTATTCCGACTAGAGTGGGAATGCTGTGTGCGTCTCACACGGAATGATCTAGATTCATACGTTCGCATTCACACACGCACATACGCAGCATTAAGCCCACCGCTGCATGCACACACCCTACATCATTTATAGCTTTTGCGACAACAGGGAAAAAACCTGCGTTCTCACTCGCTAAAATACACATAGCTGTGCATTTCCTCCGCCTGAGCTCCTATCCGAGCCAACACAAGCCTTCCCTGAAGAGCGTTTATCCTCGGTGCCTATAAAGGGAAGTAGACAGGACGATTTGCTCACATGGCACACACCCTGTTAGCAGTTCTTATCTTATCTTATAGATGTTATAATGAGTCGGAGAGGAAGATTCATCGCGCTCGAGAACAGCAATACGAAGGAATGGGAGGGAAAGAAGAGCCAGAGTAAAGACAGGAGAGTTTTGATACGTCATTATTATAATTATTGGTCTCTACTCCCTGTTTCTTCACTACTTCTCCTGTCACACTGGTTCCTCTGGTCTCTATAGGGGGTACAAGAGAGTCAGGGGTAATGTGCAAGTGTACTGAGGAAGTGAGCATGGAGCCCTTCCACTCCCAGCAAGAACAGACGAGGCTGTCCTCTCCGTACGGAGCGTCTGCGTCCTACTGTTTGCTGCTGCTGCCGTCTCGATGTTTTTTGCCACCGACGCTGCTGCCGCTCCCGTACAGGCCAGGGTTTGCCACGAGGTGCGGAGGGACAGCACCCATGTAGGGTCCAGCGGTAGCTGCGTAGTTGAAGATGGCGGGGAGGAACGGCAGAGGCTCCACCTTGTCTCCTCCAGGAGCCATCATGTTCAGAGCCACAGGAAGTGCTGCCAGGTTGTAAGGGTAGGCTAAGAGCTGGGGCCCATAGAGAAGCTGGTAAGGGTCTGGATAGAACGGCAACTTGGCCAGGTCGCCGCCGTTGGGTACAATCACCTTCCCCAGGGGGCCGAAAGGAAGTGCTCCAGGTGGATAAGAGGGCATGAGCAGGTTTTCCTCCTGCTTCTTAGCAGAGCGGTAGCTGTCTGGCACAGTGAGGGGAAGGGGGTAATCCTGGGCAGGGTAGCCAGCTGGAGTGGCGTCTCCCTGCTGCGAACCTCTGGAAGAAACAGTGTCCAGGCGATCCGGCTCAGGCACCCGGGGAAGAAGCAGAGCATGTGCAGAGGGGCGGTCACCGGCACCAGCTGCTCCAGTGGGCAGCGTGAGTCTGTCAAGTCCCTGCAAACTGGAATGAACTGGCCGGCTGGCTTGAACTATAGGCCCAATAGATGAGGGGGACTTGCAGGTGGATTTGGAAGTGTGTCTGTGTGTAGGGGGTCCATTCATAGTGGTCTGTGGGGGGATCTGATGGGGAGACGACACAGGGCTCAAGGGCTCCTCTTTAGGGACCAGGAGTGCAGTTTGGTCCTGCGGAGGATGAGAAACTCTACAGATTTTCTGGGTCCTCTCAATCTCTTTTTCTCTTTCTTTCTCAATTTCTTTGTTCCTCTCCCGTTCCCTCTGCCTCTCCAGCTCCCTCTCTCTCTCTCTTTGCCTCTCTACCTCCCTCTCTCGAGCTAAAATCGAGGACATGGTCAGGTCTTGTGCTTCATTGGGAGACGGGCTCCGGGACAGAGGCACTCTGAGATCCTGGACCATAGGTGACTCCTCGTAACTTGCACGTAAAACTGTGCCGCTCCCCGTCTGCCTTTCTCTGTCGATAATGACCCCATCCCGTCTCACGAATCCCCCCTCAGAGATGGGAGGTGTTGCCATGGAAACAGGAGGAGCAGCAGTGATTATTCTGGTCTGTGATGTCACGGGCACATTTGGAGAGGTGTTGGTGGATGTTGCGAAGTGCAAAGGGCTGGGTGTTCTGTAAATCTGGCTGTCCAGGCTTTTTTTGATGGGGGTGCGGTAGTCGAGACAGTCGGGCCCATTCATGACGAGTACGCTCTGGAGGGGGGAGGGTGTGGCAGCCGTGAGTTCAGGTTTAGAGGGCACGAGGTTCACTGGACTTTCTAATGGAGGGTCTGCGGTTTGTGGTCTTGAGTCATCCTCTGAGAGTTGTAGTTCAGGTTTTTCACTGGAATCTGATTTCAGATGTTTGTCTGAAAGTTCATTTAGATGGTCCTCGGGCTGCCCTCCACAGGGCGGATCTGGTGCTGAGTAGCTGATAACTGAAACAGAGAGAGCGCTGAGAGTTTGTCCTTTATCGGCCTCTGGATCTGTGCAAAGAGCGTTAATAAATGTCCGTGGTGGTGGCTGTGGCTCTGTGTTCATGTCGTCATTTTCTCTCTCTGGAGAACTGCTCAACTCATGACGTCGGACATGGCGATTTAATGCCGAGGATGTCTTGCACACCTTGTGGCACTGCAGACAGGTGTGTCGTGATAATGCTCTTCTGTTCATCCGACTTGGACTAGAATTGCTCCCCACTAAGCCTATTTGCCCCCCCTTGTCTTCATCACATTTTGCTATTTCTGGCGCAGATTTGTTCTCCGCCCCTACAATTGGTTCACCACATTTAGAGGGCACAGAGGGGGCCTCAGTAGGCTTGGGATGTTGGACTCTCTGGTGGTCTTCCAGCTTGTCCCTTGAGGGGAAAGTGGCTCGACAGAAGAGGCATACAAACTCCAGCAGGTGGCTCAGCTCGTGTTTGTCTCGCTTCCTGGGGCTTGAGAACCAGCGGCCACATGTGCCACACTCTGCTGCGTTCCCGTTTGTCCAAGGCCGCCTCTTTATTTTTGCAGGAACCGCTGAGGTAGACAGAAGAGGCTTTGGAGAGGAAACAGGAGGGGTGGCAGCCTCACGACGGGTCTCTTGAATCTGTTCTTCTGGATCAGTTTGTTTCTCCTTTGAAGGGGACAAGTGATTATCTGTCTCTTTTCTTTCTTCCATGGCCTCATTAGATTTTGACAGTTTTTCAGCCTCTTCGGTCGTCCCGTCATTGTCCTCATCTTGTGATTTCTCTGTTTGTTTGTTCAGAAGCCTTTTGAGTCTCTCTGCCCTCCTCTTCAGTCGGATGGAGCGTTTGTATTTATGTTTCTGTTGCCAGCTCTTCACTCTCTGTAGATGTGCTTGAGCCTTTCTCTTAGGCTTATAGGAGTAGTAAGGTCGCCATAAGTTATCCTCCATGTCATTATCACTGTCCTGTTCACGCACCCCCTTACGGAAGTAGTACTCCCTCACCTGATCTGGAGATTTGGAGATTTCTCTCCTGGCCTCCTCCTCCTCACAACCTCCTGCCTCCTCCTCGCCCTCTGTTGCCAGGGCAGCCTTGCTCTGGAGGCGGTGTTTATGGTGATGGTGGTGAGCGTGAGCCTCCTTTGACGATGATGTTTCACTCCGTTTAATTTTTGGAGGAGAAAGGCTCTTGTCTCTCCTCAGATCGGTCTCGGAGATGCTACGCTTCACTATGGCCTCCTCGCCAATGCGTACAGTAATCTGGCACAGGGGCCCCGCCTCTTTGACCTGTGACCCCACAGGTGCTGACAGCTGCTTTGAGACGGGGATATTGCTCTTGCTGTGGGACTTGCGTGATTTGTGAAATAATATGCCTGTCTCAGCATCCTGTCTGCCTCTGGAGCCCTCCTCTGTGGTGTCTGAACTGTTTTTAGACCTCTTTCTGTGATTATCTGTGCTGTCCCTATGCTTTTTGATTGGTCTAGGACTACCTTTAATTAAAGTTTGACTGCTACTTGTTTCAGGGGACGAGCTGTTCACTGGACTTTTATTAGTTCCAGAGGAAACCTGATTGCTATGCACAATGACAGAGGATGACACTGTGGCTCCGTGAACTATAACGGAGGGTTTAGTGTGGCCGTACGTTATCACAGAAGGCATGCTTGTTTCTGTGCCTATACCAGCCTTAAAAGGTTTGTTTTTGCTGCTGTTGGACATTTTGAAGCTGCCTCTGTCCTGCTCTGATTCTGAAGTCTCACTCTCATGTTTTCTAACTTGAGCTGCATCAGTCTGGGGTAGGGGTGTTAGTGCAGAAATGTCCCCGTGCTCAGCAGTAATAGAAACTGGAAACTCATCAGGGAAAGCATCTGGATCAGGCTTCACACTTTGAGGGGGGGCTCCAGTGATGAGGCTTTGCAGATTTTCAGGGGCTAAAGTACAGCCCAGGCCAGGCAGGGAGAGGGAGGGGGATTCAGCTGGAGGAAGAAGAAGGCCATTATGCAGGCTGTCACTATAGGTTTTGTAGGGTCTCTTCTGGGAGCGCATGGGGAGAAGGCGATAGAGCTTGAGGGCATTTGCTTTCTGTTTATAACCCCCATTAGCCGTCTTTTCACTGGAGATGAGGCTCGGATTGATCCCATGGATGGTCTTCTGGTGTGTTTTCAAGTTGTAGTAGGTGGCAAAGGCGTCCCAACAGAAGATGCACTGGTATCGTCGCTCCCCCGTGTGCCACACCTCGTGCTTTGTGCGATACTCGGCCAGAGCAAAGACCTTGTCGCAGTAATGGCACGGATATTTACGCCGCCATGAGTGAACGTTAGAGTGGCGCTTCAGGCTGGACAGGGTCATGTAGGAGCGCTCGCACACGGAGCAGAAGTAGATGATGTTGCCGTCCACCACCTTCACAAAATGGTTCTCGTCTCCCGCCAGCAGCTCTCCGGCTGCAGCGTCATCACCTTGGATACGTGCCAGGAGGCTCCTCGCCTTCTTTCCGGGCCGTGCCTTAATGATGTCTGTTCGTCCCACTATCACTCCCCCCTCCACTCTCACCTCTCCTTCCTCCAGTGGCTCTTCTTTTGGCTGCACATTGAGTGGAGGAGGAGGGGGGCGCAGGCTGTTGGATGACAGGCTAGGCACCCTGCAGGATGTCTCGTGGGACTGCAGTCTCTTGCTGTGGATGAAGACTTTGCCACAGCAGCGGCAGCTGAGGGCGCGACTGCCACGGTGCAGACGCATGTGGACCGTGAGGGAGGAGGCTGAGCTGAAGAGCCGATGACACACACCACAAATCAGCTCTGGCTTCAGGCTGTCGGTGGGGGGGTAGGAGGATGAGTGAGGAGGTGCAGTAAGACCCTCGGAAGGTGGGGGAGGTGGTGGAGGTAAGGGGGGAGGGAAATGGAGGGTGGGTGGGTGAAGGCTTGGTCCGTGGGGGCTCCCTGCTTTCCCAGCTGGCCTCCCTGACAACTTTTCCCTCCTCTCGACCTCCCCGCCTCTCTGATAGGCTGACGTGCCCAGACTGAAGAGGATCTGAGCCGTCTGGGAGGGGGAGGCCTTGCCGTTGTACCTGTCACCCCAACCGTCCCCACCAAAACAGCCGCCTAGAGATGCGCTGGAAGATCTTGGGGGTGACCTGTGAATCTGAGTCTCTGAGTTGAGTTTGGAGCACTTCAGAGGAGGCGGAGATTTTAAATCCCTCCTCATGAAGGCAGGGACACTCATGGGGGAGGAGGAGGAGGAGGGCGAAGAGGACGGAGAGCTGTCGTGTCTTGGCGGCTTAAAAGGTCGGTGCTTTACGTCCGTGGTGGCGTCCAGTTTCCACAGGGAGCCCTTGTCGGAGCTCTTGGATGACAGTCGCCGTCGGTGGGGAGAAGGAGATGATGAGGAAGAGCTGTGACAGTGGTTTGGTGAGGTCAGAGATGTCGGGAGGGGGGCTGCACTGAGCGGGAAGCTCAGGGTGATTTTGGCATTCTTAGGTCCATCCCCCATGTCATCCAGCTTGTCCTCCATCGTGGCCTCTACACGACATCCGAGCCTTTTCCCCTTCATGTCCAGCTGTTCTGCTTCCTCCTCCTCAGAGTGAGAGGCCACACCAGGATAGTGGACAGGGAGGTGTAGTCCTTCAGTCTCACTCTGGCTGTAAAGGCTAGCTGGTGGATGTAACTCTGAGGAGGGGTGAACGTTGCTGAGGGGCTCCAGCAGCGACACCGGGGAAGACACAGGTGATAACCGCCGGCTTCTGTGGAGCGCAGTGTCTTTAGCAGCAATATACGAAGAGTCGTAGAGGGGACTGGGGCCAGGAGCCCGGTGTTTTTCACTCAGATGTGGCTGAAAATGGCACGCGTGGTGGGGATCCCACGCTTTCTCACCGGACACCATGACCAGCCCCCGAAATCTGAAAAAGAATACCAGAGAGAAACTATTAGGAAAAACGTGTACATCTGAATCACAATAAAGTAATTAACTAACAGCATAAATACTTTTGCACAAGTAAAACTCTGATAAACCATCTTTTTGGGGGGGCGGGAAACCTCAAAGCAAACTCAATGCCCCAGCTACGCTGAACTGCTCTGCCAGGAATGGTGAGTGCAAGGAAGCAGAGGACAGGGGGAAGGAATGAATCTGTGGTGGTGCTGGTTTAGATTTCAGCCTGCCAAAGCCAAGCGGTCAGAACCTCATTCCTGTGATCCATCCCTTTCTCTCTCTCTCTCTCTCTGGGCTGTGACACAATGTCCCCCTCGCCTAATTGGACAGAGGTTAAATTTAATCAAACTTCTCTCAGAATAGCGTGCCCGTTTAGGTTTGTGACCCACGTAAAAATAGTCCCGCTCTTGCCGTCTAGGCAGAAGCCTCGTTCCTGGCAGCAGCGAATCTGTGCCAGGCAGGATTCTAACCGTTTATTTGTGAAGGCGGAGGGGAGGAAAGAAGGGAGGGGAGGTGGCATGCATGACGCAGGGAAAGGGTGTTTTTCTGCTCTCTGCATCCGGTCCGATCTGAGCTATCAAAAAATTTGTGCAACGGACTATTTCCATTCAACGTCCAAACGCCATGTTGGCGTAGTGGCAGCCAACGCTCGTACGGGTTTATCTTTTATTCAGACTGCAGATCGCAGAGAAAAGCAGAGAGGGGATAAGGCCATAATGATGTGACGAGAAGGGGAGGGGGGTAAAAATCCTCAGTCATGCTTTTCTGTCTTGGTTTTCAAGCAGCGACGCAGCCAGGAAGGCAGGCCGCTGTAAAATTCCACAGGCAGCCCTGAACAGGCAGAAACTAGGTCAGCACTGTTATTGCAGAGGGAAGACGAGAGAGAGAGAGCAAATGGG